AAACTTGTTTTGCTGAGTCCAGCACAAGGCTGCTGTGTCTGGTTTCAGGGAAGGCGAGCACCCTCTGCTCGGACACCGGTTTCAGGGAAGGCGAGCACCCTCTGCTCAGGGGGAAGCAGGAGGGAAGAGGGAAAGCAGGAGTCACCTCCTCGGGGGGACAGGGAGAAGGGCTCAGGGGTCCTGCCAGCTGGCTCGCAGCCTGCCGGGGGGGTCACAGTGGCTGCCAGGCCACTGTGTACCCCTCACTCCCTCTCACCTTGCACTAATGGAGCTGGGAGGGTTAAAATGCCAGGCTACTCTCCGAGGAGGGCTCCTGCTTCCCTCCACGTGGGTACCGAGAGGGGTAGGGCTGAGCAGAGCAGTTGGGCTGCAGCCTCCCAGCTCAATGCAGCAGGCGCTTCGCTGGCCCTGGCTGCCCTGTAGCATCTTGCCGGGGCAGCCCCGGCCTCATTCCCGGCAGCAACACGAGGACAGCCCCAGGCCCCTCCCAAACCTCCCAGAGCCAGGGGATGCTGGGCTCCCAGACCAGGAGCAGACAGAGCCCTCCTGCCGATGGAGGAGGTGGCGATGCGGGAACAGAGCTTCCCATCAGCACCTTATATTTACTGCAAGGTCCTCTGGCTGTGACCTTTAAAAGACAAGGTGGCCTGGCAGCCCGGGAACTGGCAGCGGGCAGGAGGCGCTCGCAGTGATCAGACACTCTGCAGGACTGTCCCGGCTGGGCCAGGCACGCCGGGCTGGGAGCTGAGCGAGAGGTCCCGGGCACACAGACTGCGGGTGAGTGCTTGGCTGCCTTTGTCATTCTCAGCCCTTCCTTGCCTGCAGCTCTCCCTCGGAGCAATTGCTTTCCCCTCTCCCTGCCTCCTCCTCCCTGCGCAGAGCTGTCCTGCCCGCTGCCTCCTCGGCACCTGCCAGCAGAGCTGGCTGCCCTCCAGGGGGGGCAGGTTCCTCGCCCCCTTTCACGGGCCCTTTAATATGAGCAGAGAAACAGGAGCAGTGTCCCCAGGCAGCCACTGCAGAGGCATCTGCAAGAAACACTGAGGCAGCCGTCCTGTGTCCCAGGAGAAAGTTTCTTCTTGACCAGGCACAGCCTGAGGCCACCTCTGCCAGACCCTCCCCTGCCCCGGCTCCGGCTCTCCCGGTGCTGCCCTTCATACCCCTCAGCTCCCCAGAGTTCACTGCCCCAGGCTGTCCCCTTTTCCAGGTCCCCCCTCATTACTTCCCGGCCAGGGAAGTAGGCGGCATCGCAGGGACAGTGGCTCTGGGCTCCCACCGAGGCACCCCAGCAGTTCCCCGTGGCTCTCTGCACAGCACTGAGCAGAGGTCTCCCCAGCACAGGGAAGGCCCCCCGCCATCTCCCGACCTGCTTCCTCGCTCTTCAACATCTCTAATCCCACCTGGACAAAGGAAATTTATGTGGTCTGTAAAAGTGACCATCCCTGGTTCTGGAGGATCTCCGAACCCCGGCGCTGGGGGGGGTTTCAGTCACTGCCCTCGGTCCGTTGCAGTGATGAAAACTCATCCTCGTCGTGTCCCGCGGGGCTGTCCTCCGTGATCCCACAGTGCCTGCCTTCCTCAAGAGTTTCTTGCCAGCGACTCTCCCAGAGGCGTCCCCAAACTGCCAACCTGTGGGTCCCCCATCCCCTTTGCCTATGGCTGTATTCAACCCTCCGTCAGGCTGACTCCTGAAGCTGGGTGGGTAGAGAGCCGTGTGCCCTACTCCGGAGAGCTGCTCCTTTCTGCAGCGGCAAAGCTGTTCCCTGCCATGGGCCAGGTACAGGTTGCAGCCTGGCTGGGCTGTACCCCCCAGCGCAAGCCCAGCCGCTGTAGGACTGTGTCATTGGAGCTTTGGATTTTCGTACCCTTCCTCCAGGGAGGGAGAGGTGCCTGCGGGGAGGTGGGAGTTTTCAACAGAGTTAACCCCGCAGGCACACAGCGAGGTGTGCAAGGCGCAGCGCCCGGGCCAGGCAGGCGGCACGTGGAAGAGCTGAGGCTGCTGGTGCTGCTCGCTGTCACCCTGCTGCTCAGAGCAGCAGTAGGCTGAGTGAGGTGGGGTCACTGGGGAGTGGGTAAGGCAGGGCAGGCAGGCAGCATTAGCCCAGGAAAGAGGTAGTCTCCGTACGTGCGTAGGGGCGGTGTGCTGGCCAGACCTTGCTTGTGTGCAGATTTGGGATGTGCAGGAATTCGGCGGCCCGGGTTGAAGGGCAGCTGGGAGAGGCACAACTGAGGGCGGCTGTCAGAGCTCCCCTCACCCTCATGTCTCCACGGTGGGTAAATTGATGGATGTGCCTATTAACTGTGCCCCAGTTGTGCCGCGTGGCGTTGCTGGATTACTAAGTCGGACAGCAGCCCGGTTACGGGTGTCGATCGCCCGGTGCGTACCCTGGGCTCCGCTGGAGCCTGCTGAGCCTTACCTGCCGTGCCCCAAGCAGCCGCCGTCCCCAGCTCTCTACAGAGCAGAGGTAGGGAAGTCGGCAGGGCGCAGCTCCCTGTAGCACAGCTGGAGCCCCCGCAGCGCGCACGGAGCACCCCTGAAATCTCGGTGCGTGAAGACTCAGGCAGCACCGGCCACTCTCCCGCCCCCAGCACTGCCCTGCCTGCACCTGGCTCTGCGGCAGCTCCCGGGGACTGAGCTGCGGAAGCGCAGGCTGCCCTGGGCTCCCTCAGCACCCAAAGCAAACCTGCTGCCACAGCGGGACCGAGCCCTGGGCACACAGGAGCCCTTTCAACCCCCTGGACAGATGCACAGGCAGAGCAGAGATGAGGGACCCTGTCCTGCCCCTCCAGCAGGCAGCAGCACAAAAGCATCGAGTGCAAAGTTTGCATTTTGTTGTTCTTTTGTTTGTTTAACCGTACAAAGAGCAATAAAAACATCCTACACTCAGCAGAGTGTTTGGCAAAAGAAACCCATCAGAAGGCGCAAACCCAAAACTATAGTCACGACCGATAACAGCGCCTCCTGTGTGTATATATATATTTGTAGAGATTCTCTCTGTTGTGTACAGCTATGTACATACAGATGCATTGGCAAGTTGCAATCCAAGGATAGTGCATGAAAGAAATGAAAGGCAGATGCAAGACTGGTCATGTGCAACAGTCAGAGGCCTTTGGCCGCAAAGTTGCCAGCTCAGTCCCGCGTGGAGCCGCTCACAGCCCAGCTTTGAGCAGCAGGCGGTCCCGGGGAACCAGCCTTGCGGCCGGCTCCCCACCGGCACTGTACGGGGAAATCCATCCAGCGTGGGCGTGGGGGTGCACGGGGGCAGGCAGCCTCAGCCCAGCCCTCCCTGGGCAGGAAAGCCCGTGGGAGAGGGGGAAGCCACACGACGAGACACGGCGCATTCCTGCTGCAGACGGGAAGGGGAGCAGCGCAGAGCCCAGTGAGGTCGAGCGTGGTGAAGAGGGCACACGGGGCCGGGGCAGAAAGCGATGGGGGCAGAGCAGGGAGCGCACGGCCATCCCTTCATCCCCCGGGGCCTAACGGCATTGCCCGTGGCGCTGCCGGGACGGCACCCATGCAGGGACGCGGCAGCGCTGGGCGGCAGGTGGTGTGGCAAAGGTCTCCCTTCTCCCCTGGCAGTGCTGCTTGTGGGTGACGGGGACCTCCATCACCAGGCCCTGGGCAGCATCCCCTGGGGCTCCGTGCACTGCCCCTCTCCTGTCCCATGTCCCGCCTACCATGGGAGAAGAAAAGCCGGGGCACGGTGCAGCAGGGGACACTTCCCTGGGTCATTTTCCCTGTCCGACCTGCAAGAGGCCCCAGGGCAAGCTCCCTGCGTGCTCCAGCCAGCACAGCTCACCTGCCAAGTCTGGCGCAGGAGGCAAGGGGCTTGTCCGAGGCCAGGCGGCTAGCCCAAGGCAAGCAGGACCAACGGTTCCCAACCCTGGGGCTCACCGCATCCCCCTGCACCACAGCGGGGTGGGACCAGCCAGGATCACCGCTCGCTCACGCCTGCCTTCACCCCCCCTGAGCTGCCCAGGCCACTGCTAATACGAACTGCAGAGCACGCAGGGCAGCTCCTGGGGTGCGCTGAGGGAGCTGCCGCAAGCAGGGCAGACACTGGACCATGGATGGGGCTGAGGCAGGTGGCAGCTGGCACTGCGGGGCCCGTGGCTGGGCAGGCTGGCAGTGCATTGCCGTGGCAGTTACGGATTGTGCAGTGCTCTGCAGGGAGGCTGGAGGAGGCAGACTCAGCATCACAGGGTTGCTCGGGGGTGACAGAGCCGTCCTGCCTCTGGGCCCGCGGTTGTGCCCAGTCCTTCCCAGCAAGCGCCCAAAACCTCCTCTTCCTCCCAGCAGCTCTTTGTCCCTAGCAGCCGCACCCCGCCGCTCCCCACCACCTCGGTTTGGCACATCAGCAGAACATTTTCGATTGGAATTACGCTCCCCAAGAAGGAAACGAGCATAAAAAAGTCAGCCCAGCGCCTTTGGCTGAGTCGCTCAGGCCCAAAAATAGCCCGAGAGGCAGAAGGGTACATCCGTTACACACCAGGAGCCATTAGCAGCTCCAAAAACCAGCAAAGCTCAGAGGCAGCATGTGGGCTAATGGTCATTAGCCGGCCATCGGCTTCTGAGCAGGCTGGGACAGTCCCCGAGGAGCACGAGCTTCTTGTCACAGCACCCTCAGCACTAGCACACAGGACTTGGAAGGAGGAGACGGGCAGCTATTGAGGATCCCTCGGGGACGGGTACGCCAGTGCCCGTGCCCCGGGCACTGCAGGAGCGCCTTGGGGGTGAGACGTGGCCCTGAGGGCAGACGGCTGCTGGCTGCTGGCCCCTGCTCTCTTTTTCTAGTGGGACAGGGCACAGACATCTGGGCACGGGGCTGCCCGGCCCCCTTCTGCCCCTCCTGGCACCCCCTGCTCTGGCCCCTCCATGCATGGGGACCGCGCTCTTCCCCCCTCTCTCACGCCACCCCAACACCTCCCCACGGCCCCACGCAGTGCTCTGGTACTCAGAGCATGCCCAGCGGGAGCAGGGGACAAGCCAGTCCCAGCTCAGCCTCGGGGCAGCCTCAATGCGCTTCAGCCACCCTCCCCAGCCCTGCCTGCTGCGGCCAGGCTCCGGGGACCTTCTTCTCTCCGTGCCCTGCTCCAGGCCGGGTTGGGTATTTAGATGGAAGGAGGGATGCTCTGGGGAGACAGAAATCCTTGCTCTGGGAAGCACATCAAGGGGGTCACGCTGTACAGGGGTGAAGAGGGAGGGGCAGGCAGGGGGGCGTTACTTGGTGCCCTCGTCCGGGTTGCCTTCGCCGTCTGTCTTCCCTTCCTCCTCCGTCTTCTGGTCGTCCGTGTTCAGCCTCTGCTGCTTTTTCCGCCGCACACATTTCACCACCATCAGCACCAGGATCACCACGGCCAAGAAACCACCTACAGAGGCGCCCACGATGACAGCCACTGTTGAGTCGTGCTTCGGGGGCTCTGGAGAGACAGGGCACAGGCTCAGGGCACGCAGCCCCCACCTGGGGCAGCCAGGGGGAGAAACAGGGAACAGGCAGGGCTCGCTCCCACTGCCGGGGAGCAAACCCTGCACATGCAATGCAGGGTGAAGGCAGGGCATGGGGCAGAGCAGAGAGCCAGCCAGCACCCATGGGTGCCCGACAGCAGAGGGGACCACTCTACCACTTACCTTTGGTAAGCACCTTCAGGCTGATGCTGGCGTGGCCCCGCTGCCGGTCTGGGGGGTTCAGGACATAGCAATTGTAGGTGCCCTCATCCTCCAGCTGCACATTTTTGAGGGTGAAGGACACGTCGTACTTGGTGGGGTTCCCGGTGAACTCCACCCGGTTCCCAAAGCGGTCCAGCTGCTTATTCATGATCTTCATCCGGAACTGCAGGAACTGTGCAGCCAGCGTGGGAGAGGAGGTGAGACAGTGTTTGGCACCCCGCGCGCTTGCCTTCCCCATCCAGGCATCCCCCTCCCCTGCAGGTACTGCCCCGGGTGCATGCCTGCGCTGCACGCTGGCCCCCAAGCGGGGCAGTGCCCACTCAGCTCCACAAGCAGCACGGTCCCTGCTCAGCTCTGGCTGCCACAGTGGCCAGGGTCAGGGTCTCCTCACGGCGCCTCTCCCCACTCACGTTTGCCTGTCCTGCCACATCAGGGCAGCTGCCCTGACTGCTGGTTCTTTACACAGTCGGTTGCTAATTTTCCCTGTGGCGGAGGAGGGCCGGACAGCAGGAGCACACATAAGAAGGCGGCTCTGGACCCCAAGGAACGCACACGACTACTTCAAGCTGGTCCCAGGACCTCTCAGCAGACCCCCAGCCCCAGCGAGACTCACCAGTTCCTCAGAGCAGTTCCTGCACTCCTGGTACGTCCAGTTGAGGGAGAACTGTTTGTTCTCCACCTTGTAGCAGGAGTTGAAGGTGCAGGAGAGCTTCACGGAGGAGCCATTCAAGGCATTGATGGTGGCGGGAGCCATGACCTCCATGCCCAATCCTGTGGGCGCTGCCGCAAGCACAGAGAGCAAGAGCAGAGATGCAGATGAGTTCGAAAGGGGGTACAAGCAGCCATCCTGCTAGCTGAGCCAGTCTCCCCATCCCACCCCGCACGCCACCTGGCTGCACAGAGCTCACCCTGGGGCCTGGGATTGCCTTTCAGGCACATCCACGCACAGACCACGCTGTGGCCAGCCAGGACCAGGGTTCCCCTGCGCAGCAGTGACAGGGGACAAGGGGGGAGCCACCCCAGCCCTGGCACCATTCCTTGGCCCTGCTCTGCAAGGGCTGATGACCCCTCTCTGCTGTGCCTGCCCTGATTGTGCCCGGTGCTAAATTCTGCTGACTCCAGACAAGCCCTGCTCCTTGCCACTTAAACAAGGCTTTCCTGCTGCAGAATCGATAACGCTATGCAAAGGGCTGAATGCAGCATCAGCATGCAGGGCTCAGCGCCACGTCCGCGGAGAAATTTATGGCTGCTCTCATCAGATTTCATTCCTGGCAGGAAGCACTACAGCGGTGAGGGCTGGGATCTGCCAGGGCCAGCCCCTGGGGGCTGCAGGGGGAATGCAGATGCTCCCCGCTCCCAGCGGTGTTCACGCAAGGATTCTCTAGCTGGGAATGACCGCGTCAAGATGTCAGTCACTCCTGGGGGGACAAGGCCAGTCCCTACACCCTGGCCTTGCTGTAGCAGAGAAACAGGGGCATTACCCGGTGCAGCTCGCAGGGCAGGATGGCTCACCTGGGGCATGGGCAGGGATGAGGTGTCTGTGCTCTGCTCCCTCTTCCACTCCTTTCCTGCAGCTCCCCTAGTCTGCTGGCTGCCCCGGCAGCACTCGAAACCCAGCGCCTGCATCCAGCATGTTCCCCCCAGCCTGCAAAGGGGAGGGTGCGCACGCCGAGACAGGCTCCTGTGCAGCCAACTAACTGCAAACTCTAAGGCTAAGCCCCAAGAAGCAGAGTGACGGAGAGCCCTGGAAGGACTGCTGTGAGGGACGAGACTGTAACCTGGCACCCCCCAGGGCAGGGACAGTGACACTGGCAGCAGGTGCTTTTCCAGTCGCCTCACCTCTCCCCTTTGGCTGCTGCTCTTTGCTCTCAAACCTTCTTCCTGAGGTGCTCCTGAGTCCAGCCCTGTGGCCAAGCTGGATACGTGTCAAGGCTGCTTCACTGGCTAATCCACTCCGTCTGCAAGCAGGGCAGGAAAGGGGCCAGGCTCTGCAGCCAGGGAAAAGAAGCTTTTCCAAGCTGCAGATATGGCTGTTTCGAGCCACAGGTCTTGCTGCGAGGTGTGAACCAGCAGCATCCTGAAGCCAGCTCTCTGGGGACAGAGGGGTGCCCTCCAGGTATGGCCAAGTCCCTGGAGATGGCTCCCTGCTCGTGCTGGCAGCCAAGCAGCCGTGGTGAGCACCCTCCATCCAGCCCCAGCACAGGGAGGGCTCCCCGCAGGGTGCTGGGAGGCAGGGATGGGGAGAACTGGTGCATGGAGATGAGTCGCAGCATCCAAGGAAGGAAGAAGTGTCCAGGCTCGAGCCGGTGTCCCAGCCCCATCGCAGCCCACCCCCTTAGATGCTTTCAAGAAAACCTTGTAGGAGAGGGAGAGAAGAGCTGGGCACCTGCCTGTCCCAGGAGGCCCCTTCACAGACCCAGCCCAGCAGGCCTGGTTGGAGGGGTCCCTGCACAGAGGCACTGGCTTGAGTGCCCAGTGGCCCTCGTGCTATGCTCTGTGTGCCTGCGGTTGGGTGGCGTGCCTTTGTGCTGCGTCCTCGGGGTGCCCCAGGGCTCTGCAGGGGGCTGAGATGCCACCAGGAGCTCTCCCAGGGTCTGACCAGGGCTTTGCCCTGCCACCTGGTACGGCAGGACCATACCGCAGCCAGAGGGTCCTCGCAGGCAGCCAGCACGCCGCGATAGGCACATGCCCTGGGAGCACCTATGTGCGGGGGTCCAAACTCTGCCACTGCTCCGGGCACCCAGCACCAGGGGACAACAGAGGTGGGGAAAGAAACTGCTAAAATCCCCGGGACCGACCGTCCAGGCTGCGTCCTTCGCTGCTGCGCATACTCCCAAACGTTCTGTCACACTACACCCTGCACCCGGGGCTCGGGAGGTAAAATTGCACGCAGCCTCTAAAGCAGAGCTTGCTGGGCTTTTTATCCTCCATTTCCCAGCCTCTCTCCTAAAGCAAAGGCAGCCCACCAGGAGCTCCAGGACAGTGTGAACGGCACTTCAAAGAGGTGATGCATTCCTGTTTCCAATCAATGTAGACCCAAACCTGCTGACACGCGCTGCTGGCTGCAGGGCAGGGCAGAAATGCAGAGACCACAGTTCCCCCCCCCAACCCCATGCAGTGCCGTCAGCCCAGAGCCCGCTGCCCCAGCAGCCAGCCACAAACCAAAGGACGGTGGCAAGCCACCCGCAGCCCACCAGCCACCGCCCTCCCAGCGAGGCAAAGCCAGAACTGCCCCCTCTCCCCACTGCAGCCCACACCCCTGCCTGGCATGCAAGCAGCCTTGCGCTTAGACAAAACCTCCAGCAAGCAGGATGCACAGCTTTTTTAAGCGAAGATGCAGTTGCAACATACCCCCCATCCTGCCTAAAAGCAGGTCACCCTGGCTGGCGGATTTCAGCAGGGCGCATGGTGGACCACCTCCGTCCCCGTCCCTGCGGCACAGCATCTCTCGCTGGCTCGCTGCTTCCCCGGGGACCGGAGGCGCTTCTCGGGGCTGGGATGTGGGGAGGGGGGCTCCTGGCCAGAGAGGGTGTTTCTCCCCAGCCTGGGTGCTCTCCCCTGGCAGCCGTGTGCATGCAAGGGGTCAAGTCGACACTTACCCAGCGAGAGGAGCAAGCTGAGGCCAGTGAGGAACAAGGTGGGCTGCAGGAGCCAAGCTTCCGGGCTCATTTTGAAGGACTTTTGTGTATGGAGAGGACCTGGTGTTGGTGTGGATTTTGGTGGTGGTGGTTTGCTTTTTTCGAACGCCCGGGTTATTTGCAGGTGACATATAACATTAGAGCTGCTTTATTTCCACAGCCCAATATGGCTGGCTGGAGTGGTGCTGGATCAAAAAAATCAGTAAATGCTATGGTTGGCGGATTTCAGCAGGGGAAGTGGGAGGGCAGAAAAATTTTCCCCTGAACAGAAGGCGAACGCTCCCGGCGCTCCTGCTCCATGCTCCGGGGTCTGGTCGTGGGCTGTGTCACAGAGCATCTCCTGCAGTGTGCTGAGCCCAGGGCAGCCGAGGAGCAGGCTGCTTCTGGGGTTCCCTCTGGCCGTGCAAACTTGCTCTTGGAGCAAGCAGCGCTCAGGGCTTCTCTTCCCCCCGGGAGGCCAGGAGCCCAGGGACTCGACCAGTGCCCCACAGCGCAGGCCTGACCCTGAGGGTTCCCATGGCCCTTGCAGCCCCCTGATTTCAGTGGGGCCATGCAGATGTGTCACCTCTGCCCTGCTGGAGGCTGGCAACCCAGCCCTGCTCATGCCGTTCACAGCAGCAGTTCCCACTCTTGAGGGCCCAGGAACATCAGAAATGCCCTCCCGAAGCCAGGCAGAGAGCAGAGGGACTGATCTGGCCTGGGAAGGGCAGAGGGTCCCACGGAGGCAGCCTGCACAGCATCCCGGCCAACATGCCCAGGAGGAGGCACGGCCACAGGCAGGCAGCCTGCAGCAGGTGGAAGCGCTCCCGGTGCGCCTGCCTGCTCCCATGCTTGATGCCGGGGCAGCCCCCTCGCTTCCCAGCGGTGCCAGACTCTGCCGGCACCTTGTCCCTTCCCCAGCAGCATGCTATCCTAGGGCAACGCCCTCTCTTCATCCAGCCCTTGGGACGGGGAGGCTCTGCCCAGCAGTAGCAGGGCTGGAGAAGGTCTTTGGGCCCTTTCATTCACACCATTGGTCAAGGAAGCCTTTGGGCCATGAACTCCAAGCCTGGATTCAGGCTGCAGAGACCGGTGCAGGAAGGAGGCGACATGTGACCCCATGGAGACCAGAAAGCCAGTGACAGCAGCTGCTCAGCCACCTAGTTCTTGTGCTGCAGGACGCAGGATGGTGGGGTTTGCTGCAGCAGCATCGGTGAGGAGAAAGGTGAGGGGTGCCCTGGAGCCAGAGCACATCTCAGTTCATGTGCACCAGAGCCCTGGGGAGGAAGGGATGGGGCAATGGGGTGGCAGGAGGGACGCAGAGGTGCTCTGCTCCCCAGTCAGCTCCAGGAGGGGAAACGGGGCAGGTGGGAGAGAAGTGCCAGGGCGAACACAGGCAACCTGCTTCGCAAACACACTCACTGCACACACAGCATGGTTTCCCAACCACGCTGGGCAGGCAGAGAACGCTTTGCTCTGCTGGAACAGGTCCCATGACCCCGCAAAGGCAGCGGAGGTCATACATAACTCCCGACACCCCAAAACCAGCTCCGGTTGTCGATTCCTCCTGTAATCCCATTACTTGGCTTCATCCAGGAAAAGAGAGTAGGGTGTCAACGTGAAACCAAGGACTGCAGCCCGGAGCAGCCTGTGCTGCAGTCTCCCATCTAGCAGAGCTGGGTGGGAGGTGGTCCCCAGCGGCTCCCAGCTCTGCACCTGGAGGTGTCAAACATCTATATATAGTGCGGGAGAAGAACCAGCACACGCCGAGACGCTGCCCCGGGGGCCCGGGAGGGGTTGCTGGACTCCCCCCGGCCAGGGCAGCGAGTCCCAGGTGTAGGGTGCACGCGGAGGTGCTCAACCATGGCGAGCGGCTAGTGCATGGGAGACACGTGTGAGCACACACGCATGGGGGGACCCCACTGCCCGTGGGGCCTGCCCCGCTCCCCTCCATCCCCTGCAGAGCTAGGGCAGCAGGAGGGCTCAGTACAGCTCAGGCAGGCCCCTTCCTGCTGCAAAGGGTCACCCTTCGCGGCCCATTTGGCTTTACTGCTCCCTGGAGCCAGCGGGGCAGGCGCGGGCGCCGTGTGCGAGGCTGCACGTGGGTGCAGGGGCTCCCAGGCCCTGGGCCAGGCAGTCTTTGGCACGCTTGGACATCACACGCTTAAGCAGGAGGTAAAAGGAAGCCAGAAACAGGGAAGACTCCCTGAGTTTTATTATCTTCAGAAGATACCACTGGCACATCTGCACGGCTCCTGCTGCATCTCCCCCTTCCTCCCCCCACCAGGCTCTCCTTGGAGATCATTATCTCGGGACTTGGAGCTGCACGGACCAGGATCAAAGTTAGAGCGTGGGGCTGTGCCCTCTGTGCCCCCCTCCAGAGACCAGGAGACAAGAGCCGGAGAGACATGTCTCCCCTGGTCCCCCGGCAGACAACCTGGGTGGGACATGCCCCAGCAGTGGCTCTGGCACGGAGCACACAGTGAAGTGGCACCGCTTCTTAGAGGAAGGGCTGACAGCAGCAGAATGCTGGCCTGTCCAAAGGAACAAAGATGTCTTGCACACACCTGCTGGCTAAGGGGCTTACATCCCCCAGCACGGCTATTTCTCCCCCTCTGGAGTCCAGGGAAGTGCCGCCTCTGGTCTGCCGTAGGGTTCCTTGCTTTGTCCATCACCCTGTCTCCCCTCTCCCATCCATTCTGCCGGGATCACCCTCTTGGCCAGCTCCACGTAGAAGCCGTCCTCCCGGAAGGGAGAAGGGTGCTGCAAGGAGCAAGGGACAGGGCGTGAGTCTCACCGCAGGTATTGGGGCCCATTTGGAGGGGGCAGGAGGCAAGGGATGCTGCTGTCTGGCAGGGGGAGTGAGGGGTCAGGCCCTGGATGCCGTCACCCTGGAGGGGCTGGTGATGTAGGGGGCCACACCAGCCCTCCAGCTGCACACCCTGCTCATGCCTGCCACAGCTCGGGGCAGCTGCTCGCCTCCTCACCATGGTTATGTAGGTCTCCTCGGCTCTCCTCTTCTTCCCTGCATCCTGTTCAGCCTTGGGTACCTCAGCTCCAGGGATTGAGGAGTAAAGCGCTTCCTACGAGCGGGAGATGAGGACACTTGGAACCAAGTGGTCCCCAAATACAGGAGGGCCTTCTCACCCCAGTCATAGGACTAGCACCGAGAGCCACAGCCACGGCTGGCCAGCAAACAGCACCTCGTGCTTGGCCAGTGTGGGATCCCCTCCCTCAGCCTCCCCAGCCCTGTGCCCCATATACCCCATGTCAGTGATCGCTCTGTGTCCTGAGGACACGCAGCCTTAGAAATTAGAATCATTAAGGTTGGAAGAGACCTCTAAGATCATCGAGTCCAAACTTGTGACGAGACAGCAACCATCCTGCATGAGGATAACACTGGCTTCAGCCTCCAGGGGAGGCTGTGGCCCAGGACCCCATCTCCCCCTGCCAAGCCTCTCGGCTCCCAGGTATCCGGCTGCTGCCGGACCTTTTGCTCCATCAGCACCTCCTCTTAACTGCAAGCCAAACGAAACGGCAGGACCTGGGGCTCATTCCAACCACCACCCATGCACGCAGCCAGCGGCACAGCAAGGAGCCCGCAGCTCTCCTGTGCATGCCATGTCCCTCGCTGGGGGTGGCTGGCCACTCAAGGGCACTGCCCGGTGTGCGCACAGGCGTGGGCGCTCGGCACCTGCCCTGCAGCCCTGTGCACCTCACCCCTCCCCTTCGCCGCCTCTCCTCCCTCTCTTTGGTTCCCGCAGGTTGTGGCGGTGTCCCAGGGCAGGGCAGGCACACACTCCCCTCCACCCAGCTCAGCCTCAGCCCTCACCTCTGCTTTGTTCTTGCTGCCGCCATTTCCAGTCCTTTCCAGGGCCGTGTTGGCTGCAGACCTTGAGGGAAGGCAACAGCGGTGTCATCTCTGGCAAGAAGCATTGCCTACTCCTCCTGTCCCTGCCCTCCCTCTCCTGGGACACTGGGATCCCTTTGCGTGTGCCTCGGCCAGGCCATCCCTGCTGCTGGCTTGCCAGGAGCCTAGGAGGTTTGGGAGCAAAGGGGGGACCGGCCAGGGCAGCGTGACACTAGAGGGCAGCAGGAGTCCACACCCCACTGTGGGCAGGCAGCGGCATTACCCGGGATGATGAACCCTCTGGTTTCCACAGCTCCAGCCCTGCTTAGGCCAGGTCAGGCTAGCGCTTGGCCAGGGAGAACAGTGCAGGAGGGCTGCAAGGAAGTGCTTTGCTCAGTCCCATAAACCCACAGCTAGCGTTGGTACCTCTTCCTCAGGCTGAGTCCGGCCAGGAAAGCCAGCACAACGGCCACACAGCCACAGCCCACAGTCACAGGCCAAAGCCCAGTGTCTCCCAGAGCCGCAGAGTCCTGGGCGCCTGCTGCTCCTCGTCCTGCTGGGGAGATACCAAGGCAGGGGATGGTACACACAGGGACCCCAGCCCTACTCCAGACTAATCGTGGTGGCAGGTCTGAGAGCCTCCCGGAGCCTCTGCAGCCCCTCTGCGTGGGGCCGAACAGGGCGACAGGAGAGGGGAGCAGTCATAGGGCACATACCTCTCTGTCCCGTGGGGCTGACGTGCAGCACTGTGTGGTTCTTGAAGATGCTGCTGCGCTGGAGCAGCCGGATCTCACACATGTACGTGCCGCTGTCATTCACCTGTACGTCCTGCAACTGGATAGAGCCATTCCAGCGGGAGATGTCCCCTTGCCACTGCACCCGGTCCCGGAAACGGCCCACAGGGATGCTATGGTTGCTGTAGTAATAAAACACCGTCTCCTCCTGCCAGGGCACAGACAGCATCAGGCGAAAGGAGCCCAGCAGAAGGGCACCGCCCTGTGTACCTTCCCTGCTCAAGAGCCCTCAGATCTGCTGTTTCTCCCTCTCCCCGCGGAGCACTGGCTGCGTGCAAGAGCCCAGCTCACTCCCACACTCTTGGAAAGCCCCAGGACGCAGCACCCAGCGCTGTGGTTTCCCTGCGACGCGGGGCCATGGGGAGCGGTGGAGGTGCCCCGCTGCCACACAGGGGAACCTTCCTCCTC